AATAACATGTACTAGGTAGAGGAGTGGAAGTATGGAAATCTGGTTATTGCAGACCACATAAAAATAGCAACTATTTCTTCTGTTTCACACATTTCTTGGTGCCACAATGGTCATTAAAACTGAAACTGCCATTTCTAAATAAACAGAAAGATGTACAGCAAAGCCTCAGGATGAAAAGAATTTCCACCATATGTTATAGCTGTTAATATTAAAATTAAACTGGAGGGCGAGACAACGTTCCTTTAGATTCCGTTATGTAATAGACAAATGGTCAACTCGAAGCATGAACAGCGAATTTCCATTTTCAGCTCACAAGGACTTAATTTTTGCCCACAGACCATGAGCATCTTCTGCTAAATGTCCCGAAATGCACAGAGAAGTAGAGGGGCACATCCAGCTGCAGGACCCAGCACCAGCGTGGTAGGAAGCTCGTTCCAGAAGCTGGTCAGCAGAGACAGACCCCACCACAGCCCCAGCAGCAGACACCCGGCTGTAGACAGCTGACCCATCTGCTCAAAAATCATTAAAGCAAAAGACTGGTTCTTCTGTACAACCCTATTTGCAAGTTAAGGGTTTTATTCCTTCCGCTTGATGATTTATGTCACAGAGTTATTCTAATCTGTTTTTTTAAGCCGCGTTATCTCCCATAAATGTAGTACAAGACTTCTTTGTAGTTATTGCAGTACACCTCTGAATGCTACACTGAAGACACAGTGGCTGACATTTGCTGGTGACACACAGAACAAAAATAATATATATTTTTTTCATTATATTATACAACATCTTCTGCAGCAGATCCAGACAAACTGCATTTGCTGAATTTGTTACAGGTTCAGGGCCCTAATACTGAAAATTTCCTGTAGAAGCTCTGTCAGCATTCCATGCTATATAAGCTTACAGACTGTGCAACATACTGTTCAGTCCTGAATGGCAGGCACCTAAAATAATTTAGTAAATCTTATATTTACGAGTTATTATTTTATTTGCCTGCACCGAGGCAGGACAGGGCAGATTTTTCAGTTTTATGGCATTAGATTAGTTCAATAACTGATTTTTGACTTTGAATTGACAAATCAATACAATTCAGAAGAACTCCAAATAAGCAAATAAATAACTATAAAATGGGAAACATCCCCTCTGTTCAACTTGGGATGTCTTCACAGGATTTCTACAAGGGATTTCTAAAATGTCTGCACAATCTCCAGTTCACAGTTAAGTGCCCTGCTTTTCACTCTGGGGCAGCTCAGGTTACTTCCCACAGAAAAAAGACATGTATCAGGATTCTCACTGCAAGAAATTGTTCGCTGACCCCCCATCAAATGACAAAGCACAGCCTCTGGCCAGTATATAATTTAGCACCTCTTTCTGTGCTTAGCCTGGTTACGAATGCATCCAGAGTTACACATACCTCTCTTCTCACTCTGAGTCAGCTCCTTATTCAAAGACAAGGCCTTGGTTTGTATTTCAAAGCAATTAGTGGATTGAATCGACAGCTATATCAAACCCTGACTCTCCATCTGGGAGCTACTGTGACAACCATATTCCTCTGGGATAAAGCAGTCCAGAAGGCCCTGGAAAGAGCACGTGAGAGCTGGAGACAAAGAATTTTCAGCCTGGGGGTTACCCAGCCTATGAAACAGTCCTTTGGAGAACAACAGATACATCCAAAACTCGACCACCTCTGCAAAACACTGCAAATCCTTTCTGTTGACAAGCCTTCCTGCCATGTGCGTTGCTTGTGAAGGGAACATCCCATTTTGCTCCCAGTTCTGATATTTGTATTGATTTTGTGAAAGATATTCAACTAGTACCATGGTAGTATTACAAAAACAAAAGACAGAATTTTTTTCAGTGTTACTCCCAATAGGATGTATACACACTTTGTTTCTCTTTCCTCTATTCCTGCCTCATGTGAATGAATGAAAACAATGTAAAACTCCTTCTCTGGTAACAAAACAATAACACCAGTCACTAGCTTGCAATGAAATATTGTGACTAATCTAACCTCAGCAGCCTTCCCGTTCCTCCAAGGAGACCTTGTGAGCACAGCTTATCTCAACTGCCAGAACTCAGCTGCCACATCCCACCTGCCATAAAATCTTCAAATCTCAGCATTCTCTCTCCTCTGAGCAGTAGCACGGCTCCCGCGGGAGGATCAGGGTGGATTTCAAATCTGTGGATATGTCCATCTGCAGCTCTTGTTCTCTGTGTCATGTCTTGACCAAAAATAACAGATGCCCATGAATGATCTCACCCTTACAAAAACCTTTAATACCAACTCTGCATACTCTCCCTGTTCAAAAATTACACTCTCCAGCACAGAGGCAAATAATATCTATTTCTATAATAAAACCAAGCCTGGAGACTCTTGTGCTCTCCAATACATGAATGGTAGTGATACCCTACCAAATAGTCTACTGAGCTATCACACAAATCTGTAAACTGCTTGTATCAACTTACCTGAACCCTATGTTGTCTGAACTGGCCTCAAAAACAAACTACGCAATTGTGTGAACACTCATTGCTGCTCAATCAGTGATACGAAGACTCTTTGTGTGGGTCGTAAATTGAGTGGTGGCCCATTGCGTGGAAAAAAGAAATGCTTCTTCCCAACCAGGGTTAGTAGGACATACAGCATTGGCAATATATCTCATTTTCCTCCAGCTCTGAATACGCTTTTCCTCCACTACCACAACACATTTGTTATAATGCACTAATACATTAAATAATTTAATCTGATCAAACAGGTAAATAAATCTGCAAGCACTCCATCTCCGTTCTGTTCTGCACAGTCACTGTTTCATGAAAAGCAGCCACTTGCAAAAGGGAATCCCCGCAGTAATTATACAATAAAAATATTTAACATTTATCATTCATGTCTTCCTCATTAACATGACTTGTCTCACAAGTGCGTACTCCGCTGAACAGTCAGGTACAGCAGCCTTGACACTTTGTGCCTCTCTGCACAGGCTTGGGTGTAGGGCTGAGGCAACCAAGTGTGAAATTAGGGAAATGGGGAAGGCTGCACGATGCTGGCCAAAAGAGAGAGATAGAGAGAAAGAAGAAGGGTCAATTTTTCTTTGGATCCCCTTGAGAGAGAAAGAAGGGTCAATTTTTCTTTGGATCCCCTTTTTTTTTCCCCACATGTGGCATTGTGAACCTTTTGCTTCACACCCTCTGGCATCCTCATTACATAGGTAAATCTGGAGGTATGGATTTTAAGGGACATACCTGGTTGCTCGCAAGTCCTTTGGGAAAAGGCTCCCTGAGAGGTGACAGGATTCCTTTGAGGGGGTGATGGAGGGGCTGACGGGGAGGGGAAGGGAGAAAGGGAGGTCGTTCTGGAAGGAGACGGAGGGGCAGACAAAAAAGGGGTGTCCAGAGGTGTGAGGAGGGGAGAAATTCCCTGTGGGGAACGTGAGGCACTGAGAGGGACCAGTCCTAAGGGGAAAAGGGCAGCTTTAGAGGGGTCCTGACTGGCCAAGTAGGTGAGGCTGAAGAGCAAAACTCTGAGGGGAACGGGCTCACGCTGGTCGTTCCCCTGGCAAACCCTCACCCTGGGGCTGAGGGAGCAGCTCTCAGGTGAGGGGCCTTTGGGTGAAGAGAGGTGAGGGGCTGCAGGAAGCGGCCATTGCGTGAGGGAGCGGTGCGCTGAGGCGATCGCTTCTGGGCGCGGGTCGAGATGCTGAGGGGATCGCTCTTGGGTGCGGGGCGAGTCGCTGAGGGGAGCCGCCATTGCCTGAAGGGGTGAGGCGCTGAGGGGATCGCCACTCTGTGCGGGGCGAGAGGCTGAGGGGAGCGGCCATTGCCTGAGGGGGTGAGGCGCTGAGGGGATCGCTGCTCCGTGAGGGATGAGAAGGTGAAGGGAGCGGCCCCGGGGGAGGAGCGGAGGTGAGGCGCTCACTGTGCGGGGCGAGGTGCTGAGGGGGGCGGCCCCGGGGCGGGGGGGAGCGGAGG